GTTGCAGCATATGGGCGCCTGACAAATCTGAGAACAGCGTTCCGATACCTTAGTAAGGAATCGTTCAAGACACTGTACACCGTGTACGTTGCAGCACCTGTTTGAAACCCACACTTGATCAAGCACGTCAAGAAATTAGAGAAATTGCAAAGGTTTGCGACAATGGTAGTTCCAGAGCTAAGGGGATTGTCCTACGAAGAAAGGTTAAGGGAAATCGGCCTGACGACACTGGAGAACAGGAGAGTTAGGGGAGACATGATAGCAACATACAAAATACTGCGTGGAATAGACAAGGTGGACAAAGACAGAATGCTCCAGAGAGGGGACACAGAAACAAGGGGTCACAATTGGAAGTTGAAGACCCAGACGAGTCAAAGGAATGTTAGAAAGTATTTCTTCAGTCATAGAGTAGTCAGGAAATGGAATAGCCTAGCAAATGAGGTAGTGGAGGCAGGAACCATACATAGCTTTAAGATGAGGTATGATAAAGCTCATGAAGCAGGGAGAGAGAGGACCTAGTAGCACTCAGTGTCTCACTGAGTCTCGACCTCTGCAACCACAATTAGGTGAGTACACACACACACACACACACACACGCACACACACACACACACACACACACACACACACACACACACACACACACACACACACACACACACACACACACACACAAAATAAATCTTTTTAAAATCGGTATGTGTCAGGTGAGCTGCCAGCCTTAATGACCCTCGTGCTGTGGATAAGACTTAATGTAACAAATTAAGCTTCCCTGATGATGGAAGGACCCGCTTATTGGAGCTTTTGTTAATGGCATTGAAACCTTGACCCGGCTTAACAGGCTAGACAGAGGTCTTCCCCTGTCTTACCTTTTCGGCCCGAGGTCTTTCCCTGGTTTACCAGTCTAGACAGAGGTCTTCCCTTGTCTTACCGGTCCATCCCGTCAACAAAGACTTATAAACACATAAGCAGTATAATTTGATTCTTTATTGACAACGTTTCGCCCACACAGTGGGCTTTATCAAGTCACAAACAGATCTACCTGGGTGAAAGGTACGTGAGTATTTATAGGATGGAGTCAGGTGGAGAATGCTGCAGGTGGTAATCTTCCGAGTAGGGTGATTGAGTCTAGGACCTTGGAAAAAAAAAAAGTAGGTGAGTACAAATAGGAAGCGCGTCTGTCTCGCGCCAGGCAGATGAAGGATCGAGCCTCCAACACATCTTGCGCTGAATGATTCAAATGTGTTTAGCGCTTAACATGAATTAAACAACTAGGACCTTGGGTAGCTTTAAAGAGAGATTGGATAAGTATATGAGTAGACCTTCTGCAGTGTTCCTCCATTTTTATGTTCTCATGTGGGATAGTGATGAAGAAGTTCCTTGGCGAGGGGTTCAGCTATGTTATAGAAGCCGTTGTTCTGGTTGAAGTTGTTGGATATACAGATAAGTGATGATTCCAGGATTCTTGTAATGACTGCAGCAAATTATACGTCGGCGAAACATGAAGAGACCTCCAAACACGTATTTCAGAACACCAGTACGCAGGCAGATCTGACGATTCAAGGAATGCCTGTGTTCAACACCGAAATTCACAATCATTTAATCAACTACAGAAACGCGAGACTAATCGCCAGAGAAGACAACACTGAATACCGAAGAATTCTGGAATCATCACTTATCTGTATATCCATCAACTTCAACCAGAACAACGGCTTCTATAACATAGCTCCTTTTGGGAGCCAGAGACGGGTCATCGAAGAAAGACCCGTTCCAGGACTCCGGTCTTGGCGAACATTATACATACACATACGCCCAGGTAGATCTGTTTGTGACTTGATAAAGCTCACTGTGTGGGCGAAACGGTATCAATAAAGGATCACATTATACTGCTTATGTGTTTATGTTTCCATTGTGTCGGTATTTTATACTATTTATTTACAATAAAGACTTACATTATACCATAATATCTACATTTCTGTGTTGTCAGGTGCGTGACCACGACCAGGCGGTGGCAGTGCTGCGGGCGGAGGTGCGGTGCACGGTAGGCGAGGCTCGCACCCTCCTGCAGGAGACGCGGAGGCTGCGGCACGACCAACGTAAGTACCTGCTGCGCCAGCTTGACGCCGCACGCGCCTACGAGAAGCAACTCAAGTCGGAGCTCAAGAGTCTGGACAACGAGAAGAAGGATGAGGTGAGTGTGTCTTGTGTTCATCTGCCCTACCTGTACTCATGACCTATCTGTACTCACCTATTTGTACTCATTTTCTTCCGTACCTGTCTAAGGCCAGATTTCCCAATTGACTGCATTGATAAGCTTCTGGCTACATAATGCTCGTGCAGGCTGCAAAATGATTTGGAAGGCTGTAGAATGCTCAGGTAGGCTGCAGGATGCTCTAGAAATCTGCAGAATGCTTTACCAGGCTGCAGAATGCTCTGACAAGCTCTGTTCTCTTTAGAGGAGAATTTTAAGGATGCGCGGCCATCTTGTACAAATAATATGAATTTGAGGAAGAGCCTTGAGGATGAATACTGTGACACTGGTAATGCATTCATCATTTACGACATGAGAGAGGGAGAAGTGAAAGATAATGAATATAACTCAGTACCATAGCTGGAACAATTTACAAATAACCCACTAAGACACAATACCATGGCTGGAAATACTCACAAATAACTCAACCTTCTTCCTTTTTCATCCCTCTTTCCGATTTGTTTTCTGGTTTTCTCTGCTTTTTCTCGCGCAGTTTTGACTTGACAATGGTCCAGGACGTAGTCAAAAGTTTCCTCTTTTAAATGGGATTAATTGTGAAGAGAGATAAAGTAAGCTAAAAAGAAAATGACGGTCCCTCTACAAACGAAGACGAAGAGTCACAGAACTGCTAGTATGTGCCAGACTTTTCAAGAAAGAAAACTTGAAGCTATTATACAATGCTCAGGGGACACACAACAAAACAATACGGGGACTCAGTCGCTGTACCCTTTATGTACCTTTGTAATCATTTTATTACCAGCATAGGATAAGTAGGTTGGGGTCCAGTCAATGTACGTTTTATGTACTTTTGTAATTACTTTACAGTATAAACATGGGCTGCATAATAAAACTGTTATGCTCACGACGAGTCTTCTCCCCACAGACCCGTGGCCGCCTAGACCGCATAGAGACCGACTCTGAAATAGAGACTTCCCTGGTTGGTCTGCACGAGATGGCTCAGCGAGCTGGCTCCATGGTGAGCCGCCTCTCTCAGGACCTGGTCACGGCCAAGGCCGTCTTGGCCGACTCCTTTCTGACCCTGGGCAAGCTCAACCGCTCACAGGATGACCTGGATGCCATCGACATAAGGTCTGCCGCTAGTGGGTACGTTCAGCAGAGTCATGTTTCTTGAAAAGCTCCTATTGATTTCAGTAGATGTGTTCCAGATATTATATACAATATAAGAGAGAACGAATAGACAAAAGAATGGACGGTGATTCGAACCCTAGTCCACGCTTTTGGCAGGCCCAGAGGTGCACCATTCAGGCACAGAAGTTACAAATAAGATGATTTTGCAACTTCTATTCAAGTTTATTCTCTATAAGGGTTACAATGTGGGGTTTACAAGTTTTGGGTATTGTGTGGTTTACATGTTATAAAATACTAATTACAGAGAGGGCCACTAGGACACCTAGCATGGCTAGGCATTTCGAGCAGACTTAGATTAATTCTTAACATTAAACCCTTACAGATTATGGTATTAAGGCTAAGTGACTACATTATCATTTGTGAGTTTAGCAATGTGAATGCTTTTGTTTTGGCACAATATAAAGTGTCTATATTGGAGTATCTTAGGCAAACTTATGACTAGTTAGGATTTATTATTTTAAGATTAAGATTAGTATTTCTGGATTTATAGTCAATGGGTGAGTGAGTGTAATTGTGAACCACCAGATGGTTTACATGTAGTTAGTTGACGGGGTGTATCAGGGAGATAAGATGTTTTCTAACTGTAGTTTTGAAAGTGATGAATGTGTCTGCAGTTCTAGAGTTCTCAGGTAGGGTGTTCCAGATTTTAGGTCCTTTGAAATACATTGAATTTTTGTTAAGGTTTAGTCGAACACGGGGAATGTCATAGAGATGTTTGTGTCTGGTGTTATGGCTGTGGATCCTGTCACAACTATCAAGAAAGCGTTTTAGGTCAAGGTTAATATTGGAATTTAAGGTCCTGTAGATACAGATTGCACAGTAGTAAGTGTGGATGTTCTGAACAGAGAGTAAGTTTAGATCTATGAAGAGTGGGGGGGGGTGTTGCCAGGGATGGGATTTAGTGATTATTCTTACTGCGGCTTTTTGTTGAGTTATTATTGGCTTTAGGTGCGTTGCTGCAGTTGAACCCCAAGCACAGATAGCATAGGTGAGGTATGGATATATAAGTGAATGGTATAGTGTGAGAAGGACAGTTTGCGGCACGTAGTATCGTATCTTGGAGAGGATCCCAACCGTTTTGGATACTTTTTTTTTGTTATGTGTTGGATATGGGTGCTGAAATTTAGGGTGTTGTCTAGGTATAGGCCAAGGAATTTGCCCTCATTATGTCTAGCAATTAGAGTGTTGTCGATCTTAATGTTAAGTTGCGCAACACCTGCTATGCTCCCAAACATAATATAGTAGGTTTTGCCAGTGTTAAGTGTAAGTTTATTGGCTGTCATCCAAGTCGATATTTTGAGCAGCTCCTCGTTAACAATGGTGTTGAGGGTGGCAAGATTAGGGTGGGAGATGACATAAGTCGTGTCGTCAGCAAAGAGAATGGGTTTCAGGTGTTCGGATATGTTTGGAAGATCATTGATGTAAATGAGGAAGAGCAGGGGTCCAAGGACATTTCCCTGCGGAACTCCAGTATCAAGTGGCCGTGTTGTTGATGCTGTGTCTTTAATGGTGACATACTGATACCTATTAGAAAGGTAGGATTTAAAATACGCAAGCGCATGGCCTCTTATACCATAGTGGTCAAGTTTGTGGAGTAGGATGCTGTGGTCTACTGTGTCAAAAGCTTTTCTTAGGTCAATAAAAATTCCTAGCGGATATTCCTTATTTTCCAATGCTGTGTAAAGCAATCTAGCATTTTTATAATTGCATCATTAGTGCTTTTATTTTTCCTGAATCCAAATTGGAAGGGTTGAGTATGTTTTGTGACGTTATAAATAAATATAGTCTCCTGTGCACGAGTTTCTCGAAGATTTTGGATAGCAATGTTAAGTTTGATATTGGTCTATAGTTATTTACGTCTGTAGGGTCACCACCTTTATATATTGGTGTAACCCTTGCTGTCTTGAGTAGTATGTCGTGGTTGTATCATTCGCCACCAACCGTGACACTACTGTCTCATCCCACATCCCTAGCTTTCGTTGTGCGTGTCTTCTCATACCCCAGAGCTGGGTTTGCCACACATATGGACCGTGGTTAGAGGATCCGTTCATTCTTGTTTATTCAAAACCAGTCGTTCAATGCGACTTGGATTTCTAAGGGGGAATGTTTATGGATAGTTGAAATTTATGTTAAGAGGGGAGGGAGGAGGTAGCGTGTATTGTGTGTACTGGGTGTATTGTGTATACTGGGTGTATTGTGTGTACTGGGTGTATTGTGCATTCTGGGTGTATTGTGTGTACTGGGTGTATTGTGTATACTGGGTGTATTGTGTGTACTGGGTGTATTGTGCATTCGGGTATTGTGTGTATGGTGTATTGTGTATACTGGGTGTATTTGTGTACTGGGTGTATTGTGTATACTGGGTGTATTGTGTGTACGGGGTGTATTATGTGTACTGGGTGTATTGTGTACTGGGTGTATTGTGTACTGGGTGTATTGTGTGCTGGGTGTATTGTATGTACTGGGTGTATTGTGTGTACTGGGTGTATTGTGTGTACTGGGTGTATTGTGTGTACTGGGTGTACTGAGAGTGTGATGATCACAGAGGATCGGCCGAGGCATCACCAGCGAAACTCAGTGTTAATATGGAGGCGGCAGCATCCAGCGGCAGGAGCACCCCTGAGGGCCGGTATGTGCCGCTCCCTCACCCCAGCCTTGAACCCCAGCCTTGAACCCCACTCTCACTCCTTTTCACCACTACCACAATCACCAACACTTCTTGCATCATCATCACCTACCAGAATTACCACAATCACCCTCACCACTATCACACACACTCCAGCAAATGTCAATGACGTCAGTAGAGCGCAAATGAGAGAAGGGAAAGAGAGCTCAGAGAGAGAGAGAGTAATAACTGAGAGAGCGAGATGGAGTGGAAGCTATAACACTCAAGACAGAGGAAATACAAGCATAACTGAGTCATAGAAGAAATACGAAAAAATTATTTCGTATCCCAGATTAGGTTAGGCTCAAGGCTTAACCTAATCTTTGTCCTTACTTAGAGGAATATATACAAAAAGACATGAGTAAAGTCATGCAACACTGAATCCACGATTCAGAAGACCCAGACATATTATTTTGTATAAATCCAGGCAGGTGTTTAAAAAGACACGTATAGCAAAAAGATAAAAAAAAGATATATTTCACTATTGCTACGTTTCGCCCACAAGAGGCTATCACCTCAAATTTCATAATTGATGTTAACGCAAGTTCTACAAACTTATGTACATGAATGGTTCAGAAAACCGACAAGTTGATAAATTAGACACATGTGCGACACTTAAGTATCTTTACTGAGGAAACGTTTCGCCACACAGTGGCTTCATCAATCCATACACAGGAGAATGGTGAAGAACAGAAGGAGTTTGAGGTAATCAGTCCCTCAGCCTTGAGTCGATGTAATCAGTCCATCAGTCTTGAGAAGAAGACAGCATATGTGCGAACAAGCGGCTTATATACTGTAGACAGTATATAAACCACTGTGTGGCGAAACGTTTCCTCAGTAAAGATACCCAAATGTTGCACATGTGTCTAATTTATCAATAAACTTCTAAAATATAGTGAAAGCAGGTCCTGGTACTGGCCAGGATTAGCCATCTAGGATAACCCAGGTTAGGGAGGGTTAGCCATCTAGGATAACCCAGGTTAGGGAGGGTTAGCCATCTAGGATAACCCAGGTTAGGGAGGGTTAGCCATCTAGGATAACCCAGGTTAGGGAGGGTTAGCCATCTAGGATAAACCCAGGTTAGGGAGGTTAGCCATCTAGGATAACCCAGGTTAGGAGGGTTAGCCATCTAGGATAACCCAGGTTAGGGAGGGTTAGCCATCTAGGATAACCCAGGTTAGGGAGGGTTAGCCATCTAGGATAACCCAGGTTAGGGAGGGTTAGCCATCTAGGATAACCCAGGTTAGGGAGGGTTAGCCATCTAGGATAACCCAGGTTAGGGAGGGTTAGCCATCTAGGATAACCCAGGTTAGGGAGGGTTAGCCATCTAGGATAACCCAGGCTAGGGAGGGTTAGCTATCTAGGATAACCCAGGTTAGGGAGAGTTAGCCATCTAGGATAACCCAGGTTAGGGAGGGTTAGCCATCTAGGATAACCCAGGTTAGGGAGGGTTAGCCATCTAGGATAACCCAGGTTAGGGAGGGTTAGCCATCTAGGATAACCCAGGTTAGGGAGGGTTAGCCATCTAGGATAACCCAGGTTAGGGAGGGTTAGCCATCTAGGATAACCCAGGTTAGGGAGGGTTAGCCATCTAGGATAACCCAGGTTAGGGAGGGTTAGCCATCTAGGATAACCCAGGTTAGGGAGGGTTAGCCATCTAGGATAACCCCAGACGCCATAAAATCCGCAACGCCTCCGCTCAACAAGGGAAGTAATGAGGTGGTGACCAAAAACTTGCAGACGAGTCGCAGTAACATCAACACACAAGTCTACGTTATCTTGTACTGTCGCCAGTTTCAACACCTTCACATATGTCTGTATTAAACTGATTGGTGATAAGTAAACTTCTCAGGTTATCGTGGCTTTAAAGTGACCAGGTTATCATGACCTTAAAATGACCAGGCTATCGTGGTTTTAAAGTGACCAGGTTATCGTGGCTTTAAAGTGACCAGGTTATCATGACCTTAAAATGACCAGGCTATCGTGGTTTTAAAGTGACTAGGTTATCGTGGGTTTAAAGTGACCAGGCTATCGTGGCTTTAAAGTGACAGATAGGTTTATGCGTATGTGGTTTTAAAGTGACCAGGTTATCGGCTTTAATGACAGTATCTGTTTTAAAGTGACCAGGTTATCGTGGCTTTAAAGTGACCAGGCTATCGTGGCTTTAAAGTGACCAGGTTATCGTGGTCTTAAAGTGACCAGGCTATCGTGATTTTAAAGTGACCAGGTTATCGTGGCTTTAAAGTGACCAGGTTATCATGACCTTAAAATGACCAGGCTATCGTGGTTTTAAAGTGACCAGGTTATCGTGGCCTTAAAGTGACCAGGTTATCGTGGCTTTAAAGTGACCAGGTTATCGTGGTTTTAAAGTGACCAGGTTATCGTGGCTTTAAAGTGACCAGGCTATCGTGGCTTTAAAGTGACCAGGTTATCGTGGTTTTAAAGTGACCAGGCTATCGTGGCTTTAAAGTGACCAGGTTATCGTGGTTTTAAAGTGACCAGGTTATCGTGGCTTTAAAGTGACCAGGTCTATCGTGGTTTTAAAGTGACCAGGTTATCGTGGTTTTAAAGTGACCAGGTTATCGTGGTTTTAAAGTGACCAGGTTATCGTGGTTTTAAAGTGACCAGGTTATCGTGGTTTTAAAGTGACCAGGTTATCATGACCTTAAAATGACCAGGTTATCGTGGTTTTAAAGTGACCAGGTTATCGTGGTTTTAAAGTGACCAGGTTATCGTGGCCTTAAAGTGACCAGCTTATCGTGGCTTTAAAGTGACGAGGTTATCGTGGTTTATAAAGTGACCAGGTTATCGTGGCTTTAAAGTGACCAGGTTATCGTGGTTTTAAAGTGACCAGGTTATCGTGGTTTTAAAGTGACCAGGTTATCGTGGTTTTAGAGTGACCAGGTTATCGTGGTTTTAAAGTGACCAGGTTATCGTGGTTTTAAAGTGACCAGGTTATCGTGGTTTTAAAGTGACCAGGTATCGTGGTTTTAAAGTGACCAGGTTATCGTGGTTTTAAAGTGACCAGGTTATCGTGGTTTTAGAGTGACCAGGTTATCGTGGTTTTAAAGTGACCAGGTTATCGTGGTTTTAGAGTGACCAGGTTATCGTGGTTTTAAAGTGACCAGGTTATCGTGGTTTTAAAGTGACCAGGTTATCGTGGTTTTAAAGTGACCAGGTTATCGTGGTTTTAGAGTGACCAGGTTATCGTGGTTTTAGAGTGACCAGGTTATCGTGGTTTTAGAGTGACCAGGTTATCGTGGTTTTAGAGTGACCAGGTTATCGTGGTTTTAAGTGACCAGGTTATCGTGGTTTTAGAGTGACCAGGTTATCGTCTTTTTAGAGTGACCAGGTTATCGTGGTTTTAGAGTAACCAGGTTATCGCAGTTTTAGAGTAACCAGGTTATCGTGGTTTTAGAGTAACCAGGTTATCGTGGTTTTAGAGTAACCAGGTTATCGTGGTTTTAGAGTAACCAGGTTATCGTGGTTTTAGAGTAACCAGGTTATCGTGGTTTTAGAGTAACCAGGTTATCGCAGTTTTAGAGTAACCAGGTTATCGCAGTTTTAGAGTAACCAGGTTATCGTGGTTTTAGAGTAACCAGGTTATCGTGGTTTTAGAGTAACCAGGTTATCGTGGTTTTAGAGTAACCAGGTTATCGCAGTTTTAGAGTGACCAGGTTATCGCAGTTTTAGAGTGACCAGGTTATCGTGGTTTTAGAGTAACCAGGTTATCGCAGTTTTAGAGTAACCAGGTTATCGCAGTTTTAGAGTAACCAGGTTATCGCAGTTTTAGAGTAACCAGGTTATCGCAGTTTTAAAGTAACCAGGTTATCGTTTAGTACAGGTATCGTGTTTTAGAGTAACCAGGTTATCGCAGTTTTAGAGTAACCAGGTTATCGTGGTTTTAGAGTGACCAGGTTATCGCAGTTTTAGAGTAACCAGGTTATCGTGGTTTTAGAGTGACCAGGTTATCGCAGTTTTAGAGTAACCAGGTTATCGCAGTTTTAGAGTGACCAGGTTATCGTGGTTTTAGAGTAACCAGGTTATCGCAGTTTTAAGTAACCAGGTTATCGTGGTTTTAGAGTAACCAGGTTATCCGTTAGTACCAGTTCGGTTTTAGAGTGACCAGGTTATCGGGTTTTAGAGTAACCAGGTTATCGAGGTTTTAGAGTGACCAGGTTATCGTCGTTTTAGAGTAACCAGGTTATCGGTTGTACAGGTTATGTGTTAGAGTAACCAGGTTATCGTGTTTTAGAGTGACCAGGTTATCGTGGTTTTAGAGTAACCAGGTTATCGTGGTTTTAGAGTAACCAGGTTATCGCAGTTTTAGAGTGACCAGGTTATCGTGGTTTTAGAGTAACCAGGTTATCGCAGTTTTAGAGTAACCAGGTTATCGCAGTTTTAAGTACCAGGTTATCGTGGTTTTAGAGTGACCAGGTTATCGGTTTTAAAGTGACCAGGTTATCGTGGTTTTAGAGTGACCAGGTTATCGTGGTTTTAGAGTGACCAGGTTATCGTGGTTTTAAAGTGACCAGGTTATCGTGGTTTTAGAGTGACCAGGTTATCGTGGTTTTAGAGTGACCAGGTTATCGTGGTTTTAGAGTGACCAGGTTATCGTGGTTTTAAAGTGACCAGGTTATCGTGGTTTTAGAGTGACCAGGTTATCGTGGTTTTAGAGTAACATAATTTTGCTATCATCAACATTCTCAAAGCTTAGACAAAAAAAAATTAACTACAGCTTCGCTTGTATTTTTGACGGACGATGCCAAAATAAACATGAAATTCGCCCGTGTGGAAGAAATGGAAAAATTACAAACGGTTAATAACAAACTTTTCCATTTGGAAACAAAATGTTTGACGGTGGTAAATGCACATTTTCTCTCGTTTGCTTCGATACAACTTTTCATAGAGCGGAGGAAACACTTAAAAGACCTAAGAGTAATAATGTTAGACACTAGAGGACAGTTAAGTTAATGTGACAGAGGTTAAGGAAGTTACAAGCTGGATTATGAAAAACTTTCAAAACAAGAGAGATCTTCTCAGTGTTGGTAAAATTGGAAGCGTCGTCAATAATGTTCGATAGCAATAAATTCTTTTAGGTCAGGAGATAACTCACAGCTGGGAAATAGAGACGATTTACTGCCATTGTCAATAAAAAAATATATATTATTATTATTATAATCAAGGGGAAGCGCTAAACCCGGAGGATTATACAGCGCCTGGGGGGGGGGGGATGTGGAAGGCATTCAGACTTAATTCGGGGAACTGGAGCACAGATCCAATTCCCTAAATCAAGACCACATCACCAACATCAAGGAACCTTCCTTGAGGGAAAAAAAATATATAAAATTACTGTACTGGCAACGCCTCAAAGCAGTCTAGAACGGAAAAGAGGGAGATATCTGCTAATATTCATGGAAAATACTCATGGGTCATGTCCTCACTCTACACACTCCCATAATCACTTACTGGAGTAAGAGATACATGGTGGAATGTAAATTAACCTAATAACGAATGACCGTAGACAGTTAAAGAACACTGTCAACATCCATGGTGCAAGACTTTTCAGCCTTCTACCAGCACGCTGAAACCACACCCACACTCACAAGCTCTTCTGTCACTGTCACAATCCTTCTTTCTCCCTTTCCTTCCCTACCTCCCGACCTTGTACCTGTTACCAACTTCGTCGGATGCAGGACCCAAGACTCTTCAAAACACGTACTTTATTTGTTTTTCCTTGAAGATTTGAGAACGCAACTCGAAACTGGCTGGCAAGTATCAGCTCAAAGATATAATTATAAATGTTAGTTGTTCACTTGACTCTGTACCGGCACTTGGTGCGTTCTCATATCTTCGTTTGTGAGATAATGTATTATGCAGAGGTAGCTTAGCCTCGCCCGTCATTCCTTCATCCCGTCCTCGTCAACTGCTCCACTACCTCGCCAAGACTACCTGCCAGCAGTGTTGTCAGAGCAATTGCTGCTTGACTGGTTGGTCAGACCTTACACTGTTGTCAGAGAATTCGCTGATTGGCTAGACAGGTCTGGCAATTAATCTTGTCAGTATTTGCTTGTTGATTGGCTGGTCATGTCTGTCAATAATGTTGTCAGTGAACTTTTTCGTTGACTGAGTGTTCAAGCCTGACAGAGGTATTTAGCTGTGCGATGATTGGTCAGTTGATGAAGGGCGAGAGTTACCAATCACCCTAAAACGTTGACAACTGGAAAGTCCGTCCTCGTAGCATCCTTGTGACTGATGTTCGGTCGGAGTTGTCTCGTAATAAATACAAACGATCGAGCTAATTTTATTCTAGCTACTTTCTTCCTAAATTCATCCGAGCTGGTGATTAGTTTCTTCTTATTGTAGCTGACCATTACTTTGACGTGGCACAGTGCCTGAACCTCTGAGACGCCCGCTGAGTACCACTAGTCACCTGACCACTATCGTTGGTGCTTCACTTGTACTCTTAGTCTGCGATAGTTATGGCTGCATCTTTTTTCACGCGCCACGTGTAGTCTTTTCTGCATTACTCTAGCGTCTGTTACCACGTAACAACGTTTCTTGAGTCAGTGCATCAGCACCGCCATTCACACACTCCACTAGATGCATTCTTGTGCTAATTTACTCGTGGTTTATATAGTTTGAGTAATTATTGTTTTACTGAGTAGTGTAATTAATATAAATGTTACGCACATCTTAATTTAGATGCTAGACAAATTCTTGAGACACAGAGTGTTTTGTAATGGAAGTGTTGGTGTGGACATCCATCATGGCGCGGCCAGGGTACACCCTATGAAGGCCTCGCCCGTCTCCTCTCGTGGATGTTTTTACCTTCTTAAAAGCAGCTATCATACTGTGGATCGCTGATAATTACGAATTTACAGCATGTTACAGAATTTGTCTAGCTCGTTTTGTAATAATGATAACAGTAAGATAGCTTGTCACCAAGGTCTTGCTCTTGGTATGATCAAATGGTCGCTTCCATCCAGAAATTTTGGGTAATCAATTACGTTCCAATCCAATTTTTTTAAGTAGAGTGAGTATAGAATTGACCAACACATAAATCATGTCATTCAAGTATTAAACTGATTTTAAATATATTGTTTAAGGCATGATTTCATGTTATTATTGTGATAAGTGGGTAGGTATAATTGTGAGAAGGCTGGTGTCGGCAGCAGGTCCCCCAGCAGCCCCGCCCGCGGGTGTGTGGACCGTCGCAGCCACAGCCTGGCTGGCCACTACAGCAGCAGACGCCTAGCTCATAATGGCCGGGCCAGCAAGGTGGCCATGTTGCGGCCTGCCCTCAGTCTGGAGGCACCTATGCCCACCATCCAACCACTCACCAGAGTCTACCTCGACCTCAACATCGAGGGCATCAAGGTAGGCTCCAACACCTAAACAATTCCTAGTCTTTATTATTAACCCTTTTTTCAGGTGGGTTTTCATTTTACGAGGTCAGGGATGGCAATGTCTCATACAAGTCTTGCAAGGCTTCCTGAGTTAGTCGTGTATCAGGTATACCGCTTATAATAGGACAGTTGTTGTTATGGGTGACAGGCACATAGATGCCTGTCTGGCTAGTACTAACTTTTCTGCACGAGATCAATTTCAACTCATATTTAGGTCTCAATAACTGAGTAAATTTATATATATATATATATATATATATATATATATATATATATATATATATATATATATATATATATATAATATTATAATATATATATATATATATATATAAAGCAGGTAAATAATTTAACAGTATTTGCATGGTAGAATAACCACATAAGAGTTGTACTTACGAGTGACAGTATAGCATAAATTCGTTCTTTAATACCAACAGGAATATTGTTCACTATTACCAACAAAGTGTTAATATAAGAAAACTATAAAACACCAATTACTGATATCAGAAATGTAAAAATAAAATGGTTGACCACAACGTTGATGGAGTAATTAAAAATCACTAAACCACAAATTTGAAAGGAACTACTGGACAACGTTCCGGCCGTTAGTGATAACATCACGTGCTACAACGAACTGAACATCGTCCAGTTTTCATTTCCAATGCGTGGGATAGTTGTAAACCGTTGAACATTCCCAGTTCACCTCTCCTTGCACAGCCAACAGCTCGTGTGGTGATCGAGCTGCGACCTGACATGGCTCCTCAGCTGTGTGAAAACTTTACGTTGTTATGCACTGGGGCGCGAGGCTTCGGCTACCGTGGAAGTCAGGTGTTCCGCTGCCTGCCTGGCTGGTGGCTCCAGGGTGGTGACTTCCAGTCCAACGATGGTGAAGGTGGTCGTGCTGCCCTTGGTGATGATGAACTCATCAGCGCTGAGACCACAGGTAAACTCTCTCATCTACTGACTCACAGTTACCCTGCATCTACTCGTCACACAGTTACCCTGCATCTACTCGTCACACAGTTACCCTGCATCTACTCGTCACACAGTTACCTGCATCTACCGTCACACAGTTACCCTGCATCTACTCGTCACACAGTTACCCTGCATCTACTCGTCACACAGTTACCTGCATCTACTCGTCACACAGTTACCCTGCATCTACTCGTCACACAGTTACCTGCATCTACTCGTCACACACTTCCCCTGCATCTACTCGTCACACAGTTACCCTGCATCTACTCGTCACACAGTTACTCTGCATCTACTCGTCACACACACACACACACAGGTAACCTGACTCCACTCCTGCCACATATGTAATCTACATCCAGTCCTCTGACACAGAGATTGCCTGTGAACAAGGGTCTCAATGCTGACCCCGGTGACACACTACTTGTAACAAGTCCCATTTCTATTTACCCACTATTTATTCACACTGTTGTCTATCAGTCAGCGATGACTTAACCCAAGAGATAATTTCATATACACCGTGTGTCCCCAACTTTCTTCGTCACTGCTGGACTTTGTCAAAGGTCTTAAGTTCATATACGCAAAATCGTATTCTATATCTTGGTCTTCTGCCTCGAATAGCGTAGTGAAACAGGTTAGTAAATGCATAAGGCAAGAATGCCCCCTTATAAAACTGTGTTGAGATTCATTGATAAAGTTCTATCTTTTAAGTTGGCTTTGAATTGCATCCTCAATCATTGATTCCATCATTTTTTTCACAATTTAGGTTCAGCTGATTTGTCTGTTATTTGAAGCTATGAACCTATCTCCCATGTCGTGACATCATCACCACTGTTTTGGATCTAGTCTCCCGTTGATAAAACTGATTACTTCCCATTCCTCAAGCGTTACATGATCCCTGCTTTGAAACCTCCCAAAGATGTAATAATCATTAACTCGAATCCCTGCTCTCCTGGTCTTTACATGAGGCTCCACTGCCAAATCTATTGATTATAACTCTGTGTCAGTCATATCGACGTCTGTTGGAAATGAATTAGGACAACTAAATAACAGGAGATCATTATTATTACCAGCCTTGTGTAGTAGACTAGGATGGAATGGTGATGACATGCAGCCTTAATAATTCTTTAGCAATTTTAACCCTGTGATTTTAATAAGTAAGAAACATTTACAACACTAGAAATCTTTATTGACGAAAAGTTTTGCTTGCGCTGCAGGCTCCATCAGTCGAATACAAAGATGAAAAACTCACATCTGGAGACATCAGCGTTGGTGGAAGACGAAGTATTGAGGTAGTTTGATGTAATCAGTCCATCACCCTAGGTGCATGATGACCAGTCTCTTAGCCTAAAGCAGAAGCAGTTGGAGAAAAGTTATATACAGGAAGGTGAGGTGTAGCAGCTTGGAGATGAGGGTACAGGACAGCTGTGCCCACTAGTGGAGGTAAGTCATGCTAAACAAGTTAAAAATCCATTTCCTAAGATACCATCGTTTTGCAGTGAAGAACAAGTAACATAAACGGTACACAATTTCGACAAATTGGTATCATGGTACAAAAGATGTCTTCAGTAACTCTTTTGCTAACAACTGTTTATAGTATGACCTACTTCACTAGTTGGCCATCTCATCTGTGACTTCATCTCCAAGCTGCTACACCTCACCTTCCTGTATATCTGTCCCTGACCAACTGCTTATGCTTGAGCCAAAGACTGATCATCTTGTACCTATGGTGATCAACTAATAACGTACAACTACCTCTTCACTTTATCTACTTCGTCTTCGACTAATATTAATGTCTGCAGGAGTGTGATTCATCTCTTCATCACACTGATGAAGCCTGCAGCGCAGGAGAAACGTTTCGTCAGGATATTTTCCTAGTGTGATTTTATGGGGTAACTTGTTCTCTTGTGTGTAGTTCATAGATAGGCCTTTATAATAATAATTTTAATTTCTGCCAGTACATGTGCAAGGTATACAGGCCTAGCTGACAGCAATGACATACTGCTGTATAGAAAGCCCCTTTCTATGCAGAGTATTTCGGGAAAATTAGGTCAATTTTTATCCCCAGGATGCGACCCACACCAGTCGACTAACACCCAGGTACCTATTTTACTGACAGGTGAGCAGGTGTCTTAAGGAGGCGTCCCTAAGGTAGTCTGTTCTTTCATGAACATACACGACTTCATGTTTATCTGAAGGTTTTCAGGCTTGCGATGAATTATTGATTTTATCTGAGTTCCATTACCTCGTATTACAACCATTCTTGTGTTTCTCTTTTATTAACACTTTGCCCTTCATAGGAAGTATCTTGATGCTGGTGAAGGCCTCTACTCTCTCCTTTCTTAGGTGGAACTTGACAATCCCCATTTCACACTATATGTATGCTAAGAGCTTACTTTAATGCCAGTTTTAGGAATTAAGGTATTCTTGATAGTGAACAGGTTACACAAAGCCTTAATGATCCCATGACACTGTCTTGTTCCGTCAGACCTGGAGCCTCGTCCTGGCGCCGTGGAGATGCTGTGTATGTCAACCAATGAGAAGGGTAAGCTGATGGTTGGCTCACAGTTCTTCATACACGTCAAGAAGTACAGTTACACCCACGTCTTCGCTTACGTTATAGATGGCCTCGATCTAGTTGATAAGTAAGTGGACCTTAGAGACGTGCCTTTTTAAAGCTCCCCTCCCTCCCATATCCCCTTACTCCACCCTTTTACACCTTACACAGGTGCGTATCGGCGTTCACCTGCCTGTATGCCTTATCAATCCTTGCCATGACCAGTCTCCTGTACCATTATCGTTTTAGCTACTGGGCTAAACTCTGGCACTATCCCTCTCACACAATTTTTCCTCTCGCTATCTTCCACTATCCCCACTTGCCATCTCACCCCACAAGGGTCTTACCTATACTCTCTTGACCTTGACCTTTGATAAATAAGTTTCTCTGCACTGTCTAAAAACTTGAACATTTATATACAGGTCTCCAGCTTATAAACGCCTTAAATTACAAATATCCACTTTTACGACACTTGAGGAAACTCATTCCATTTCTACAACCACAGATCCGCAGTACAAACCTGATATAAGTAGTTCTTTCCGAGTTGAAACAAGGATATATACATCATAAGGTGTATATATATCAATGTATATATACTGAGAATTTATTTTAATTCGTATTTTAGGGGTTAAAGTATTCTTGACCGGTGGTAAACAGGTTACATGCAGCCTTAATGGCGCTTTGAGTAGTCGATTGGCTTTAAGCCCAATTAATCAACCAAGTTGAAACACCAATAATGCAACTATTATGTATGTGGGGATCTCCTATATATTTTATATGACCTGTTTTAACTTACGTAATTCAAATGTGTTTATTATTATTAAAAAAAATTAATCTTCATTAAGGCATGTATTTTATAACATTCCCACAAACACTTTTATTTATCTGTTGTACTTAATGCACTATTAAGTAGTAGAGAACCTTTTTTTTCGCTCTACTCTGAAACAGATCAACACTGTACATATATCTACGACAGATCAACATCATATATCGTGTCTAAGATATATCAGCACCATATATCTCGTGTCTACGACACATCAGCACCATATATCTCGTGTCTACGACACATCAGCACCATATATCTCGTGTCTGCGACACATCAGCACCATATATCTCGTGTCTACGACACATCAGCACCATATATCTCGTGTCTACGACACATCAGCACCATATATCTCGTGTCTACGACACATCAACACCATATATCTCGTGTCTACGACACATCAACACCAATATATCTCGTGTCTACGACACATCAGCACCATATATCTCGTGTCTACGACACATCAACACCATATATCTCGTGTCTACGACACATCAACACCATATATCTCGTGTCTACGACACATCAACACCATATATCTCGTGTCAACTCACCCCTGAATACCACCTCTCTAACACAAATATTAATTTTACGTCACCCGCCTAACTGACTGACTAAAAAAAAAAATAGCTTTTTTTGATGTAGTGACTTACTTGAGTGTGTCTTCAGGATGACGCAGCTGGGGGATTCGACCCACGTCTATCGTCCCACCAAGACCATTACCATAGCTGACTGCGGTCTCCTGGCTGCCTGAGGACCTGCACCAACACCCCGCCGGGTTGCTACTACGCACTCGTCCTCATGCCGTCACGCCGAGTCATCTACTGCCGCTGAGTTCCTTCCAACTTAGGTTTAGAGACACCAAGACAACTTGGCTCATTCAGGCATCAACATATACTTAAGATTGTTTGAATTGATCATGGTCTCGCGTAACTTGTCATAATCATAACACTGGAGCTAGCCTACAACTTCCATACTGTCCCTTTGTCAAGTAATGTGTAACCATGCCTGTCATGTCCGCACCTTGAAGCCTCCCTGGCTCACGGGTATCTTCGTGTTTCCCCAAGCTTCACATTACTCACGAGTGTTTCACATTCTGCCTTCCGCCTTTTGTTTGGCTTGCCCAGCGTCCTGCCTCTCATGATCATTCTACAACGAAACTTACATCTTTATGATTGCTTCCAACAGCGTCGCCGTCACCAGTGGATGTACTTGATCACTAAAGAAGTATAAATACTCTATGACCTGACTGCTGCCTGAAACTCAGTGCATATTGCAAGTTACTCTCATTATCACTGCTTAATTTTTCTAACTAAACAACACATGCTGCTGACAGTCTCTTAATTCCTGAAGGCTAATTTATACAACATATGTTGCAATTTCCATTACTTTTTGTTCTGTGGAAAGCAAACAAGACTTACTTCCTCAACTTCAACTGACAAGAACATTCCTAAGTATTGTCGTTACCGCTGCTCCCTTGAAAGGCAATCATGACATTAAAATGCTACTAATATTACTGCTGCTTCCTAAAAGTCAATCAAAAGAGTGAAAACGTGCTACTTGCTGTGTGTAGAACAGTGAAAGACTGCCTAGCAAGTCTTTTTCCACCGCCGCTCCACCTGGTAGAGCCCTGAATATGGGCGCTGTAGCCGCGTAGAGCTCACATTCTGAGCTGAGGCATTCTTTTATGCAACTTGTAGGTATTTTTGTTGTAAATATTGTGTCAGAGCACGAATTGTATCGTTCAATTAAAGTTTCTTCCGTAAAAAAGTACCAGTAGTAGAATGAGAAAAATCTTAACCGTTTCAACTTTATCTCTTACAGTAAGTTTATGTGTAGTTTGAGTTGACACATGTCCTTACTGAATCCAGTAGGACACTAGGCGGTGCCCTACTTAAACCCAGTAGAGGTCCAGTCGGTGTCCCGCTGAACTCAGCAGGACTAGCTGGTGTCTCAGTCAAGCCCAGTAGGACTAGCCGGCGTCTTACTGAACTCAGTAAGACTACAGCCGGTGTTCCAATCGAACTTAAAGGACTCCAGCAGGTGTCCTAATCGAACCTAAAAGGACTCCAGTAGATGTCCCATTCGAATTCTTTAGGACCCCAGCTGGTGTCCTAGTTGTACACTGTAGGACTCTATCCAGTGTCACTTTTCAAGTAAAGAATGACCTCTCAGTGTTGTATTTCTTACCTTCTTAGTCAGAAAAACTGTAGACTTATAACAAATATATCTGTTCATATTGTTAATGCACTTTTTTCACATTTTTATATTTTTTTTATGGTGACAGTGACTGTCGGTTTGTGTCTGAAGGTTATGGTAATAAAGACAATATAAAAAGTAAGTCTTTATTAGACAGCCCCAAAGACAGACTTTCAGGCAGCTGCCTGAATATATTCGTTTTCTCTTCATCTTTTCGTTTTTATTTCGATCATAACGTGTGAGGGTCCTCATCTAATTATCCTCACATTATCAGTGTTGGTGCATGATGACAAGAGCAAGATTCATGCACCTGTGGAAAATTTGATTTATTTGGATGTAACTCATAATGTATATACGTATCAGTAAATCATAACAAAGATAATTATTATTTATCAAAGTTACATAGACAAGTTGGAATTTGGGACACCTAGGTCACAAAAAAATGTCCCCCTTCGATACCTACAACTGTCATAACCACAAGTTGCTCTAGACCTATTAATTACAAATGAAATATGCATCACCAGGAATTCTGGTAAATATATAAATTTGTGGACTATATTAAAATTAATGATACTTATACACATTTATATAACAGAAGGAGAATATATCTTAATATCACTCACCAATTTGACTGGAGATTAATGTGTATCATACTCAGAAACCTCATTCTAACCAAATTTATGATGATAATACTAACCAGAATTACAACGCAATTTAGATAGCTTATCTGAGGTTCCTGGAGCTGTCTTGTCCAGTCGCCTGATATCTCAAGTTATGCAGGAATGCACATCCAACAATTTCGGCTCCTATTTGAGAGGTGTCAGACCAATTTAACCTCTAGAGCACGAAAATTCTTCCGATTATTCACTAACGTTTGTGTTGACTAGTTCAAACATGGCGAGTCTCTTCTGCTCTGCACAGGCACAGAGTTTCCCATTTTTTTATAACATAATTTTTATTAAATACAATATAGGCCATCTATTTACCTATAAATTACCGTATTTCCAGAAAATATACAGTATTTTCCACAGCACCTATTGGCATGTGCATGTGAGGAATGTTACCCCTTTGTTGTGAGGGTTTTCTAGAGGTAGTGGGCATGTAGGTTCAGTGTAAGATAGATCAGATCATTAGTGACTAGAATAAGGTTTATTTGCCAGAGTTTACTTAGGACAGTGGTTCCCAAACTTTTTCAGCTTGTTACCCAATTTAACATGCCACATAAAGCATGTTACCCCTTTCACAAAATGTTGTTATTATTGATATATATGGCTAAATTAAAACACTTCAGCCTGGCGCTGAAAATAAGCCTGATCCTTATTTTGAAGATTTGGATGGCACTTCTGGAGGTGAGCTGAGAGTTTTGATGGCTTGAGGCTTTCATTTGTCAACACTTTGTGACATGCCACACATTGTGGCCGATCCTCTCCACCAGAAGTTAAATTCACAAAGCCATGGCGAAGAAGGGCGTCAGTGTAGGTGCGCTTTTTGAACATTTTCTTGTTCAATCTGCAGAAAAAGAAGAATATCCAAGCATACACTGCAAAACGCAAGGTACATAATTTCTCGCATGGCAGCTAACACAAGTTCACTGATGCAAGCACACACGCATACATTCAAAATTGTCAGGCTGCAAGTATCATGCTTGTCAGCACAAGAGCACCGTGTAGCGCGAGACTACAGTGAACGTATACAGCCTCGCATACTCTGCTAATCCTAGCAAAACCATTGAAAACGTAAGAACCACACATACATTATATATAAAATTATATAGCTACAAATTCACAGTAACAGTGGGTAAATACTAACTATATACTGCACAGGGCAGTACACATACATACCAGCTTATGTCTACTCGGCTGATGCTCACAGATAAACTGACAGTGTGAAATAGAGGCAGCCTCAGGAAGTGAGTGACGCGTACTGGACAGGTCGATCTGGGCTACTGAGTGACTTTTGTCCTAAAGCATACTTGTCAAAATACTTTTGGGTTTCCACACACTTAGCTATATATTTCTTCTTTTCTAATACTGTATATTAGTTTTTGATGTTTATTGTTATTTGGTTTAACTTTATTACTTACTTATAATAGGTTTACTTTACAACTTTATATACTAAGACAAAGTTAACAATAATCCTCATACCGGATACCGCATTGTTTTCTTGATTTTCAGAATTCATAACTTTTTTGTCACCCCTCCATTACCCCCCAAAAATGGTTAAATTACCCCCAGGGGGTAAATTACCCCCAGGGGGTAATTTACCCCCAGTTTGGGAACCACTGACTTAGGAAGATCAACAGTATAGATAAGTCAAGGACCAGGTTCAAGAGGGAGTCTTGCCGTGAGGTTGGCCGAGTCTGCTGTCCTGTGCTAACTGGAAGCGTCGGCTCACCTACGCGCCGGCCCTCAAGTGAGCTCTCATAAAGCCTCACCCTTGCCCCTCTTCCCACCCAACTCCCAGCGCCACCCCAACTGTAGAGGGTACTTCTCCCCTCCCAGCCCACGATGTCAGCGATGCAGGGACAGCGTAGTGGAGTTCGACCGCGAGGCAGTTGTCAGGTGTGCCACAGGCAGTGTGTACTCAGTTCCTCAAGCTTCAACATCCGTGCACACGAGGGCCTGGGATCTTCAATCAACTTGGCGCCCACCAGGACGTTGACATGTCCCTAGGGCAGCTCTCCCTCGAGCTGCTAGCGAAGTCGTATGCTTCTTGGACCTCTTGGGGAGGGTCGATAGTGCTCCTGCAAGCAGCAGATCCCGGCGCAATTTGCTGCTGTTTGCAATGGCTGTCTGGCTGTCTGCCGAGGAGGGACAGGCACTTAGCAACATCTGTTGTTGGGGCAATAGATGAATTCCCTACTATGTTTGTTAACTGCTCATTACTCTGTAATTTGTTCATGATTATAATCATGTCTTGACATGTTTATCATTCATTACCTCTGAAACTTGTCATGATTATGACCAGCTCTACCTGGAGTTCATTACCTTTGTAACTTGGTCATGACTGTGACCAGATCTGGTTCATTACCTTTGAAACTTGTCATGATTGTAACCAACTCTATCTGGAGCTCATTACCGTTGTTACTTGGTCATGATTGTGACCAGATCTAGTTCATTACCTTTGTAACTTGCTCAGCTATCAAAACTTTGGAGTCAGTTCCTGGACCAATTATGTACCACTGTAATCTTTAGACTGCCGCCCACAGGATGGGTATGGGGTGCATAATAAACATATTAAACTAACTAAAACCTCAATCTAAGATAATGTGAAACAGGCCCAAGTGGGTATTTAAGAAATTATGGGACAGGAATAACATTATAGGAATACCTTAGTGGATACCGCCCAGTAAGGGATACCTTGAGGAATACCTCCCTCTGAGGAGTGCTACGAGGCATACCTCTCCTCTCCCTCCTTGTTATCCGCTGGATGTTTCGGTTCCTGACCAGCCGGGCTGTGGCTCGTACGTTGGTTTGCGTGCAGCCAGCAGCAACAGCCTGGTTGATCAGGCTCTGATCCACCAGGAGGCCTGGTCACAGACCGGGCCGCGGGGGCGTTGACCCCCGGAACTCTCTCCAGGTAAACTCCAGGTAACCACCGCTGAATCACACGGTTGTATTCATCAAGACAGAACAAGTGTCTCCTGACACGGGTATTAACAATATAAGTTCTAATTGGTCGGAACTGCTGACTCAGTGTTGGGATTGTATATAAACTGACTAGAAGAATGCGGGGAAAGAAGAATGGGGCGAGAAGGACAGAGACGAGGATTGAAGAGTTAATGTTGGCCAGACTGGTATTGTGTGTATATGGACTAGGCTCCTGGTTGGCACCTGGTCCAAGCTCCTATCAACAGAAGTCGGAGTTGTCAATAAGGACTCAAGTGAATGTCCTGTATGTTAGTACTAAATCTATCATGTATGTTGATCCATTCATTACTTCAGATCTACTTTTATTATAATTATTAAAATATATATATTCATTACTTCAGATCTGCTTTCATTATAATTATTAAAATATTTTGTTATCAATATTATTAAGATAATTTACTTTACTTATGGAGAATTACGACTCTGAATTACAACAGATATTCTATTGTAATATTAAATATTGTCTGCGCGTCATCTTGGGCAAATATAAAAGTGTCACTACATTGGTAGAAGGATGATGCGAGGTACTGGAGAAGATCTATCACACAAACAAAACACCATCCATCTTGTAAACCAAGAAACTACATGCTTATAGTTGTCTAAACCTATTATAAAAGGGTGAGCTAGCGAAGGCATCAGTCAAAATGACCAAAAGCTCCAGCTGAAGGGTTATAAATCAAGGTAACCCCTTGTCCTTTCTTCTGTCAATTCCTTACTGACCTCTATTGTAAACAGTCAGATGTATATAACATGAGATGTGGTAATGTTTCCAGTATATTAAACATATGGTTATTACTTTTTATCCCCTACTTTAAGAGTGAATTAATTCTTGACTAGTGGTTGAATACACATGAAACTTCCATAACCCGTCATTATAACAAAGTTTCACTAAAGAGTTTTCATTATAAATAACTCATAAAGCGTCTAAGATCGAAATGTTAACAATAATAACGACCCGACCGTGTTATGCAGTTGTTAGGTGTAGGTAAAACTTACATAGAAACAGTATGTAAAAATGTGTAATCGCAGCCTTGAGGCTGCGCCCTCTGGTAAGTACGTGACATAGAACTGAAGACTTCCAAGCGTCTCATCTCCACAAGTGCACTTTAACCACAACTCACCTGACTGAAGGTCGTGTCCAGCTTTCTTAACCGTAAGCACCAATCCCTGTGTTTCCCTCAGTATTTAGTGTCACGTAACTAGGGGGCAAAAAACAGTGAAGTAAAACCAGCGTACGGTGGGAATGAACTCACTGATGAGTCATAAAACTCCAGAACGACGCGTTAGCCAATGCCAGCTTACTACAATAAGTCGTCCAACTAGTA